GGCTTGCGGAGGCCACAGCATGGTCCACGTAGTCTCACCCTCCACAGACCCTGACACACACGAGCAGGGCCAAACTGAGACGAGCCAGCGGGAGGCGCAACGCACCAGTCCCGAGCGCGACGCAAGCAGTGCGCGCCAAGACAGCCCAGCCAGCGCACCCACGGGACAGACCGTGCTCGCGACGGCTGCCGCTGACGACCGCGCCCTGCACGCGCGGCCCAGAACCGCGGCCTCAGAAGCCGAGCGCGCCGCGCCCGGCCCCCGCCCATCTGTCGAACGCGGGCGCGGGCGAGGCAGACCGTGGGTCTTAACCCCGTGGGAGTCGTACGACAGTGCTGTATATGCGGCGCGAGTCCAGAGAGTCTAGCGATCGAGCCCGTGCCAACGAGAGCGACCGCGACAGGAACCGCGACAGGGACAGGAGCGCAGGGTGGGCCCTCTGGCGCCAGCAGGACAGCGATCGGGACCGAGCCAGAGAGCGCAACCGCGATCACGACCGCGATCGTGACAGGAACATCGGATGGGCCCCTTGGCACCAGCAGAGCGATCGGCGCAACCCTCAAGCACAGGGACGATCGCCGCCATCCTGATCCCATCCGCCCCCGGGAAACCCGCCGTGTCAGCTGGCCACGGCGCGCGCGCGAGACGGCGGCCGACCACCTGGAGAGGCTGAAGGCCGAGGGGGGCTGCCGCTTCACCGCGGCCTGGCACTCGTGGTGCAGGCGTGGGTATCAGGATCAGGGCAAGGGCAAGTCCAAGGACCAGGTCATTTTCGACCCGACCTGCTGGCGGCCCAAGATGATCGACAAGTTTCTTGAGAGCATGGCCAACAGCCACCATCACGTGGAGACCTGGGCCCGGAACACTGGTGTCTATGTGGACTGGGAACGGGGGAACGCCATGTTCCAGGAGTTCCAGAAGAAAAGGGAGGTAACCAAGGGGGAAGTGCGCGGAGACGGCCAGGCGCGCAGTTCAGGGTACACCGACAACTGGACAGGGAAGCGCCCCAGGCGCTGACCAGCTCGGGCACCAGCCACCCCCGTCGGCGCATAGGGCGCCGCTCCCGACATCTCCTGATCCAAGCTAGCCCTTGGCCAGCGCGTGCAGCCAGCACGCCGCTGACCAGACGCCCATCCTGATCCCGCTGTCCCCCCCGCCCTCCCCGAATGTGCTTGGGGCTGTGTGCCCCCCTGACCCCCGCCCTGATCCGCCTAGAGTTGGGGCTGATCGCCCCGTCCGCAGAAGCCCGGTAGCCCACGAGCTCGGCCGTCCAATACTGGTGCAGAGAACGGGCTCTCACGTGCGCGGCTGTGCCGCGCACGCAGCTGCCGTCTCCCGGCCCCCCCCACTTTCCATTTGGAGTTGGGGCCGTTAGTCCCCTTGATCCCCTGGGCCTACTTGATCCGGGCCGCCCGGCTCCCTGCTCGGCAGGGCGGCGCCCGCTTCTTCCTCCCCCCTCCTCTTTCTTTTAAGTGGCATTGGGACCGTTATAGTCCGTCCTGATCCCGCTGGGTGTCCTGATCCACCCGGCCGCGTGCCCCCTCCCAGCGGGGGCTGGCCCGCTGGGCTGGCCTTTCTCCTCCCTGCCCGCTTCTCCCCTCCCCGCTCGCTACCCCCCCTCCCGTGGCGACAGCGCCCGGCGCTGCGCGGCTTCGGCCCGGTGCTGGGCGCCTGCTCCTTGCCGCCATGGCGGCCCCGCTGTTCTTGGCGCTGCGAGGGTCAGGCCCGGCCCTCGACGCTGCAGATCGGCAACGCAACGCGCTTGCCGGCGCAGGGCAGACCTTCTCCCTGCAACGCACCGGCATCCTGTCGGTCATCAACGGCAAGTTCACGGACGGTTCGCCCGGCTGCCGTGCATCAGGCTGCGGTCCCCCATGTCCGTGGAGTGGACTGCCGCGGCTGGTGCTCCTTGCATCACTGGTGGCACTACGTGGCTCTCCTACTTCGTGGTGCTCCTCTTCCTCCCGCGCGTCGACCTGGTCAAGTGGCGCGTCCCTCCCGCAGTGCGTGAGGCTAGTGTTCGCGAAGCGCCGCTGGCGGCTGCACCGCCGCCCACCTTTTCCTCCCGGGACTTCGCCAGCGGGCTCCTGTCCAAGGTGTATTTTTTCCTGCGCGTCCCGTTCGGCACCGCCTGATCCCCGGGCTCCGCCCGCTCCTGGCCGCGTGAGGCCCCGCCTGCCCTCGCCCCCCTCTGTGTCAATCAAAGCCGCGCGTGTCCCGCGGAGCTTTAAGCGGAAGAGGCTCGCTCTCGCCCTGCAAATCAAAGAGTGTGTGTGTGTGTGTGTGTGTGTGTGTGTGTGTGTGTGTTTGTGCCTCTCCTTCTGCGCGTCCCCTGGCGTGTCGCCAGTGGCTTCGCCCTCCCTTCCCCAGTCGTCGGATCGTTGCTGTCGCTCCCTGTTCCTCCCTCCCCCAGCCTCGGGTTCGCCTGGGGTCCCGGGTGTCGTCCCTTCTTCTGCCTCTTTCTGGTTGACCCAAACGTGGGTCCAGCGAGAACGGGGTGCTGCAATAGATTCGGTGCAATCGATTTGCGGGGCTGCAATAGACTTGGGCGCGCAATTCATTCCAGTGCAAATCAAACGCTGGATTTTTGCGTGCAGTGTATTGCTATTTTTTATGTGTAATCGCAGTGTTAATCTGGTTGCTATTGTTGGTATTATTATTTTTGTTTTCATTTTTTTTTTATTTTATTTTTGTTTTTTCCATTATTCGTATCATTCTTCTTTTTCTTCTTCTTATTAATAATATTATTAGTCTTCATGTTCTGTTTATTGTGATATTACTGGTATTGTTAAGATTATTACCAATGTTAATGTTAGTAGTATTGTTGGTTTTATGTTTATTATTATTATTATTTTATTACATTACTGTTTTCCTGATATTTTATTGTTACGTTTCGCAACTCAACGCAATACAGGTCTCCGGCGCGCTACATTCGCAATGCACTTACCCTACGTCTATGGCACCACTTCTTTTCAGATGGATCCTATTTTGGGTCAGCCAGACTCATGCTGTCGCTGCCCTCCAGGGTCGATGAGGGGGAGGGGGAGGCGGAGGAGGACGCGGAGGACGCTTAGGGGGAGGAGGAGGAGGAGGAGGAAGAGGAGGAGGAGGAGGAGGAGGAGGAGGAGGAGGAGGAGGAGGGAACAGGAGGAGGAAGAGGAGGAGGAAGAGGAGGAGGAGGAGGAGGAGAGGAGGAGGCAGAGGAGGAAGAGGAGGAGGAGGAGGAGGAGGAGGAGGAGGAGGAGGCGGAAAAGGAGGAGGACCAGTGTAAAACCAAGAATCGTCAACGATGTTGGAGTTAACCCTACCTCCAAGCTCCCTTTTTCATAGGCCCTTGCAACGGTTCATTTCCATTGAGGGGACTGCCTCGTTGGAGGACATCCGTTTGAAGATCCTGAAGTATGCCAAACATTGTTCTCGGGATTTCAACGCCACGTATCAACCTGACTGCTGCGTCGTGACGATCTGGAATCGTGCCAGAGCGGCATTTTGGGGATCTCAACACCGCGAATCAACATAACTGTTGCGCCCGCCATTTTTGCTACGTTGATCATTGGAATCCGTGAAACTCTTGCTGAATTTGAAACCGAATGTGCGCGGCGCTAAGGCGAGAGTCACATGTCGAAAACCACCCGACCTCAATCCGTGAAACTTTTGCAATGCAAATTTCGAAAGAGAATATGCGCGGCGCTAAGGCGAGAGCCACATGTTGAAAACCACCTGCCCTCAATCCGTGAAGCTCTTGCAATTCTTTAAAACGAATGTGCGCGGCGCTAAGGCGAGAGCCACATATTGAAAACGACCCGCCCTCCATCTGTGAAGCTGTTGTCACATTTTAAGCTCCAGAGTCATACATGGTGAGGAAGTCTCAGGCGAAACGCCCAGCCCGCCCTAAAAACTTGCCTCGGGGTGCGACAGGGAGGAGTTATCTATAAGGAGAAGGAGTGGGGGAGGAGGAGGGGGAGGAGGAGGAGGAGGAGGAGGAGGAGGAGGAGGAAGAGGAGGAGGCGGAGGAGGAGGCGAAGGAGGAGGAGGAGGGGGAGGAGGAGGAGGAGGAGGAGGAGGGGGAGGAGGAGGGGGAGGAGGAGGAGGTGGCGTCTCTGTCTTGCTGGGGAGCGTCCATCGGCCTGCCCTCGCCGGGGGGGCTCTCGGGAGCTGCTCGGCTTGTCTTGGGGGCCACCGGGGGGCGCTCCTTGGTGATCTCGTGGGCCGTCTTGGGAGTCCGCTGGTCCTGCGGGGGGCCCAGCTTCGGCGGCGAGCGAGGGGGGGAATCGAGAGCGGGCGTGCCTTCTCAGAAGGCTCGGAAGCCCCCTGGTCTTCCGAGAAGTTTTCGAAGCCTTCCCCGAAGCGCACAGAACACTTCTCAGAAGGCGCGAGGGGCTCTGAGAAGCCCCGCCGCCGTCTGAGAAGGCCTTCTCCTTCTCACTTCCCCCCCTCGCTCGCCGCCAAGAAATGGGTCCCAGGCGATGTGTTCGGCCTCGGTGTCAGAAGCGAGAGGCTGGCCCTTGAAGCCGCGAGAAACGTCGAGCTTGTGACTTGGAAAACGGACTGGGAGGCTCTGGGAGAGCAGCTTAGTGCATGAACCCTGGACACCAGCCGTCTCAGAGGGCGGGTGGGGCTGCCCAGGCTGGCTGTCCGTCAGGGTTGGCCGCATTCGTGGTCTCTTGGACTTCTCGTAGGTGCCCTTCTCAGGGCAGGGCCCAGTTTGGTCCGATCGACCTGGTTCTACGTCAATTCTGGCCAGCTCGATCCGATCCGATTCGATTTCGACTCCGTGCCGATACAGCCCGATCCGAGGCACATCTCGCTTGGATTCGATCTCCTGATTCGATGCTGACTGGTCCTGCCAGGAAGTGCCACCCGCACTAGCACGAACGCCATGGGGCTCTTCCTGCGCCGACCGAGCGGGGCCGCGGCACGGGTTTCTTTCTCCCCGTTCTGCCGTGCTGCCTTTCCTGTCTGCGCGCCCTTCGCTGATGCAAAAGAGTGCGCTCTGTCAG